TAGGATTGCCATCTTTTCCTTTTTTTTTAATATATATTTAATCAGGTTCTTTATATTAAATTTTAATTTTTTTTACCTCTTCTTCTAAAAAATCACCTAATAAATAATACTATCCTAATTATATAAAACATTTATAAAAGGCTTTCTAGAAGTGATAAAACCTTTTAAAAAATGAAAATCAGTTATATTATAACCTAAAGAAAGCAATTTGTAAGAGCAAATATTATCAGATAAACTAGTAACTAAAGGATACTAATTATATGCTTTATATATTTTTATAAATATATTGAGAAGTACTATAGAACATTTTTAGAAAAGCATATACAACTGCTTCAGTATATATGGATCTTTTATGAAATTTATAAGTACTATCAAAAAGCATTATTTTTTCAATGTTAAAAAATACATTATGCTTTTCTTTGCAATTGCTATGCTATGTGATTCAAAGTTGTATGTTGATAAATAATACTGTAAACTATTTCAATAGAATGATTACTTAGTGCAGTGATATGATTAGTAACAAAATTGAATATTGGATAATTGGCTTTCATATAATAAAAAACATTAGAGAAGAACATTAAAGGTGCAAGTTTGTAATTCTTTTGATCAAATTGAAGAAACAAATCACTCCAACAATGTATGCAAGCTTCTTCATAAGCTAACCAATTTCTTTCTCAATAGTGCACTAAATAACGTTAAGAACTAAGAAAATTAAGTTGCTCAAAAGGTCAATTAAATATAAAAATTTAATATTTTTGCAAGTATGATCAAACTTAGAATAAATGATATCAACTATATCAAGTCATGCTATATACATAATATAAAAAATCAAATTAATTCTTTATAAATATGGCTTTTTATCAAGATTCTTCTTTAGTTCAAATATATCTTTGTATATATCAATAAATAAAAATGAATTCTTCATATAGATGAGTTTACAGTCATTCAAAGAAACATAAAGAGCCTTTATCATAGATAAAAATGCAGTGATAAACAAAAAAGATCTTTTAATTATTAAGAAGATGCCAATGTGTAATAGCTTTTTGAATAAAGAACTGCTTAGGCCAATTTGCAACAATTGAAATCACATATCTGAAAAGATACTCCTGCATTGACTCTTATTTATATATGATTCAAAAGGTCTTTGTATAGTCTTTTACACCTTTTAAATTGCCCTTAATGAAATTAAATAGGATAGCATTTTATATGTGCTGATTACTCTTTATCTCTACTAATCTGTCATTGTAACTGTGTAATATTAGTCTTTTTATAAGCTTATTCTCAGAACACTTACCCATATAGTCTTGTATATGATTATTGTAATAAATTTTAAAATTTACAATAAATCATTTATCAAGATGCTTCATAAGTAGTTTATTATCAATGATCTTTGAATTAAGCACTTTGTCATATAATATAGCTAAAATAAAGCATAGATTTGTTATAATTGTTAACATATAGATTGGCCAAGACATATTAGTAGTATTAAGTTACTGTTAAATATAAATATTGTAGTAATTATTAATATTCAGCACAAAGAAATTTTTTAACTAATTTTACAAAATCTTCTCAACATATTTTTTATGCTTATTCAAAATTCTTTTCTTTTTATAATTTACTGTTTTTGATGTTGTAGCAACACCAAGATTTGCTATTGTATTTAGGTCCTTATTGCTCATATCTGCTGAATCTAAATATAATGCAAGATCGAACTTTAAATAATTAATTTTAGAATTATGCAATGATGCAAAGAGGTAACATATATGTATTATTAATTTTTTTATATGATCCATTGTTTGCTCATTGTGTTTATAAGACTTAGCTATTAAATATTTGTTAGTTTCAAATATTTTATACATTTCATCATAAAAATACAAAGGAGTTTCCTTTTTTAAATGTTCTCTTTCATAGAAAAATCTTGTTATTACCTTAACAGCTTCAACAAGATTAATCATATCTGCATCATCTTTATTCATACTTTCTACTTCTTTTATTTCTATTCTAAAAGTAGTTTTAGCTTTTTCAATATTAGCTTCTTTCTTAGTTATAACTTTTACTTGTTTAGTGCTTTTTTTTAATAGATTTTGTATACAATACTAAAACACAAATTGTATAAATAATATCTTTTTTCTACATTATCTTTATTAATTCTTGGCTTTAAATGTAGTGACTTAGTAAAATGAATAAGTTGTCAACTTCACACTTTAACTGATAATAATTTAATTATTAGTGATAAAAATAAAATAGTTGAAATTAATAAATCAAATTCAAGAAAAATAAAAATTAGTAAATTGTTGACAGAGTAGAAAGAACTACTGAAAGAAAATACTTTTTTGAAATTGTAGAAGAATATAATAAAGAAACTTTGAAACAAATAATTAAAGAATATGTGCATCAAGGTTCAGTAATACATACAGACAAATAGAAGGCATATAGTTGTATTAAAAAATTGAGTTTTAGACATTGAGTAATAAATCATTCAAAAATCAAATTAAATAAGGCACAGATATACATATATATAATATAGAAGGATTATAGTGCAGAGTTAAATTAAATATAACTTCAAGAAATAAAAACAAAAATATTGTTAAAAATTATTTATTAGAATTTGTTTGGTAAAAAAAATATAAAAACAATTTATAAAATGCATTTTTAAAAACTCTTAAATTATGTAAAAATTAGTTTTTTTTTATTTTTTAAAGTAATAAAATATATATACTGAACTAATGGTAATAGTAAAGATAAATACATCAAATGCACAGCATGTGATATATTTATTTTTAGTATTACCATTGGTTTAGTATATATATCATATAATATAATATATAAGTAAAATTAAGTACTTTCTTTAACTGTATTTTAAATTTTGTAAATTAAAATATTGTAAAAAAACCTACATTTTAAAAATAAAAATTTAATTATAAATGATATTTAAAATACCTAAAAGCAATTTTATTAATTTGTAATAACAATTAAGAGACAATGTTTTTAGAGATTCTTTAATATGATTTGTATTTTTTTATAGCAAATTTGGCAGTAGCAAGTAATAATTCTTTTCTATAAGCATCTATATATCATTATGCTCTTTTTGCAAACTTTTGAATTGTTATAACATCTACAGAATTAAGAGCTTCTGATACAGTATTTTATAACTCTTAAAACATGTAATTACAATAACTTTTTGCATATTTTTTTTGCATTTCAAAAATAATTGATATAGTTAAATTCTGACTAAAATTTAGAATAAAAAATAATTTTATAATCTCAACTATACACAATATTCTCAAAAACATTTTTTGCTTTATAAAATCTGGCTGTTTTACTAACTTTCTTAAATTACAACAAATCATTTTTTTATTTTCTAAGTACTTAATACATTTATCTTTTAATTGTTAATCTCAAATATTTTTTCTTTTATTACCTGTTTTATTTTCTTTAGTTGTCCTCTTTTATTTACATTTTTATAATTAGGTAGAAAAACCATGTTTTGAAATGTACTATTAGATAATCGACCAGAATGCATTCATGGTTATTTGCACTATATTTTATATTTATTCTGCTTATTACTAATGCAACTTCAGCAAAAGCACTATAATTTGAACTGTTATCAAATCTAAATACAAAAATTCTGCCCAGAAGTGCAATTTCCAAAACATTAATTGTTCATTTAAGTTGTTTAGAAAGCAACTGAACATTTTAATAATCATCATGGTTTACACCAATTTCAAAAGTCTCTGTAATGTATCTATTTGGAATTTCTGAATAGGCTAAATGTTGCTCTATAGTTAAATGAACATACTTCAAAGGTTTATATAAAAATTTACTAATATGAATATATCTGTTTTATCTCTTTGGATGTAATTTTTGTTTACCTATTTTGAAAAAAAACATAAATAAATAAATAAAAATAATTTTACCAAACAAATTAACTTGAAAAACACAAATCTTCAGGCCTTCATCCAGTTTTTTTATCATCATTAGCAGCTAATATTGTCTCATCATGTGTTATTATACAATGTGGCTTTTGATTAAACAAAAAATTTTTTTTAACTAATTTTATTAAATTATTTTCATTATATTCAATAAGAAAAAGTTCTAACTCAGTCATTATAGATAAAAAAAACTCTTGTCAATACTATACCACATCCTTCCATTCATACCTATTTACATATACATTTTTTTTTTATTCCTTATAACTTCATCTCAACTTTTTAAGCCATTCTAATGTGGTTCTTTTATTTATAGTCATTTTTTTTTAATGCCTAAAGATAGAAAGACTTTATTTTCTACAAATTTTTTTAGAATCTTGGAGTTTACACTAAACTTATTGCATTATAAATATGATATTATCTAAATAAAATCTTTGGTAAGCAAAGAATTAGAAATTGTATTTAAAGATAAAACAATTTTTTTTTACCTTCATTAATATTCTTTCATTGTCAATAAGGCTTGCTATTTTTACATACTTGTTATGATTCTTTTTTGGTAATTTTCATCATCTTAACCACTTATTATCCTATTTACAAATACATCTTATTTTGTAAGCTCTTCAGCCTAATGATCCAGCAATCATCACACTTGAATTTATTTTAATCCAACCTTGATATCTCAAATGCAAATATTGTAATGCTGCTTGTAAATGAACCTTAGTTTCTTTATTAACTTGTTTATTGTTTTTTTTAAAATATTGTCTAATTTCTTAATTGCTCATTTTATACAAGCTTTATTATTATTCATATTTATTTTTGCTAATTCTACTACTGAATCTATAGTATTATTGACCATTACTGTATCTCTATACTTATCAATTATTATTATATCTACAGCTTTATTAACCAAATTTGTCTTTATTAATTGTATTGCTACATCTGCAGCTGAAAATTTAAATAAGTAAGAAGAAATAAATTTTATGTTTTGTATAGCTATTTTTAGTTCAGCTTTTTTTGTCTTAATGTTCTTTCAGAATTATTATAATTATAAATAGGTCTACTTACAATTTTTCAAGTATTATTATTCTTAGCAGCTGCTAGTAAAACTTCAAAATAACTATCAGCTTTTTCATTAATTTCTTTATCTACCCAAATATGATCATTAAGCTCTTTATTAACTAATTCATAATCTAATAAATCATTATTTTTGTGCATTGTCTTACTTTTTTTTAAATGCATATGCTTAACTTTTGATTTTCTCACAGCCTCAAGTTGGTATTTTCTTTTATTCATAAGAGACATAATAGTAATATAGGTTAAATCCAATAAAAATTAAAACTATAATCTTTTCATATAATTTTGTTGTAATAGCTTTGGTGTTTTTTCATATTTTTTTTTTTAAGGATTTATTGATTTAATTTTTTTTTCTTAAGAAAAAAAAAAAATAAGTTAGCCTACTTTATGACCTTATGACCTTATGAATACCAAGAATTTATAACAGGTCTACTTTATGACCTTATAAATACTGGGGCTTTCAAATCTATATATTATAAAACCCAAGTTTACAGAGTTCATATTATGTCTTGCACTCACTTTATTATAATATTTTGCTTCTTATTCCAACACTTAAATCTCTTTTATAAATGATCTTAAAAATAAGTTCAATTTTACAGATTAAACCTTATTTATTTATTTGCTTTCATACATTATTACATTACTGATTTATCATAATAGATTGTAAAATTCTATTGTCATAAATAAACTTTTATATTTCATAACTTGTAATTATGTAGATTTAGCTAATTACGATTTTATTTTTGCAAAATCTAAAAAGGGCTAACTCTAGTACTGATTCGTCACAATAGATTATAAAATTCTATTGTTGTGAATAAACTTCTATATTTTATAACTTGCAATTATGTAAATCTAGCTAATTATAATTTTATCTTTGCAAGATCTAAAAAGAGCTAACCTTAACACTAAGTCTATATCTAACCAATCATATATAACTGATTTGTGAAATTTAATTAGATAATTAATTAATTATTCCTTAAATTGTAGACTTTTGCAGACAAATTTGCCTGTATAATTGTATTTTTTTAGCTCTGATCTATTTTTTTAAAATATTAAAGTATCTAAATAAAATTTGATATAATAATATTTGAAAATAAGGATTATTTTTTTACAGTATTTATTTTTAAATTATAAGCAAAAAAAAGTAGATTGCTTATAAATTAAAAATATGTAATTTTAAAAAAAATTTTTAATAAAATATTTTTTTAGTTTATCTATGATAAACTTTTTAAATATTAATTTTAAA